CTCACGGTGTCCCCGCACGCTCACTGACTCCCCGCACACTCATGGTGTCCCCCTTCCCTCACTGTCCCCACTCAGCAAGGCCCCCCCACTCACCGACCACCACCCGCATGGCTGAGCGGCGCATGCGCCTGGCAGCACCAACGGCGCATGCGCCCTTTCCCCCCCCGCAGACAGCGCCCCCCGGCGGAAGGGAGGGGCACTAAAAGGGCCAGAGCCGCAGGGGGCGGGGCCGCTCCCCGGGAACGAGCTTGAAAATCCTCATGGAGCGGAGCGGGAGACACGAGGGGATGGAAAAAAGCCGAGGGGCTGTGCAGCCAAGCGGGAGCACCCCGGCAGCAGGTACAACGCTGAACTGGGCAGGAGCGGGGAGACGGTAACCCGAGGAGTTTGTCAGGGCAATGAATTAGTTCGTTAAAAGAACTGAAATAAATGCCAAGAGAAGCTGTGGCTGCCCCATCCCTGGAAGTGTCCAAGGCCAGGTTGGACGGGGCTTGGAGCAACATGGTCTAGTGGAAAGTGTCGCTGCCCATAGTAGGGGAGTTGGGCAGGATGGCCTTTAAAGGTCCCTTTCAACCCAAACCCATCTGGGATTCTATGATTCTGTCATCCTATTAACTGATTATTAATATTGCTAATCAAAAATGAAGAATTGTGCAGTTGGGAATGAGGCAGGGGCTGTTCTCATTGATGCTGAGCTTCCCTCACCTCTGACACCTTCCTTCCTGCATGCCTCTTCAGGGTCATGGGAAAAGAAATTCCTTCAAGGATGTAATTCTGCCACTGCACTTGAAATGTCTCTTCTGAGATGTGATAAAACACACATTGGAGACTCGACTTCCCACCTGCAGGCAGCTGGGGCAGCCTTTGCTTTCTGACACACAGAAACCTGTTTTGTCATCTGCTGTTATCCATGTCCTGTGAAGAGCAGAGGGTGACACCAGCCTGTAAGCAAGATCTCTATGCATTGGTGGCTGTTCTGAAATATTAAGAAGTGCTGGAGATATTTCTACCTATCTATCTGCAGCTCAGTCCACCTAATCATCTGTCCTTGCCTGTGAACACAGCCATAGTCATTGCTCCACCTCTCTGTCCATCTGTCTTCCTTCCCCCATAGCCCACTATGTCATAGTCACAGAATTATTAAGGTTGGAAAAGACCTCCAAGATCATCAAGTTTGACCAAATACCACCATGTCAGCTAAATCGTTGCACTAAGTGTCATGTCACTCTTTTCTTTGAACACTTCCAGGGATGGTGACTCCACCACTGTCCTGGGCAGCCCTCAGCTGTCCTTATCCCTCTCACCACCAGCTGTATAAAAGTCGCAGGTCCTGTGGTAAGCAAAGAAGAAACTGGGTTTCTAGGAGGAACCAGCTGGAAATCTGAGACTAGGAGTTATTTGGACAGGAAAAGGCATCCCTGTGGTTCACAGGATGAAAGGTGGAGATGAACACCTGGCTTCTTGTATGGCATATACTGGCAGGTGGGTGGGTGAGCAGGAGCTACTCTCCATACGCAATGTGGTCTGCCCAGCCTCTGTCACAATGGTGATGTTAGTTGGAGGTGCTTGCAGGCTGTATGCACATTCTCCTTCTAACTCCCCCATAAAGTACAGATGGCTGTACCTGAGTGTAGCCTAGTAGGTCCTACAATGTAAACTGTCAAAAAAAGACAGTTTTAAGGAAACTTTGGATATGTCTCAAACTTGTATTTTCCCTCCACATACTTTTATCTCATGGTGTTTCACTGCATAGAACTTCCTAGAAAGACAAAATCCAGCATGCCATTTCTCACTTCCTCCTCACAACTGCACTATATCCATCTAACAAGAAACATGCCATGAGTCAGTCCCAACCTGTAAAAGAGCCCCAGCACCAGCACCTGATGAAGCCCTACACTTCTGCTTCTGTCAAGGGTCAAAGCCTGCCCAAAACTGCTGCTCAGACATGTGAGAATCATAGTATCAGAGAATGGTTTGGGTTTGGATTGGAAGTGACCTTCAGAGCCCTGAAGTTCCAGAGAGTGACCTTGTTCAAACCCCTTACCATGAGCAGGGACATCTTTCACTAGACCAGGTCGCTCAAAGCCCCATCCAACCTAGCCTTAAACCTTTCCAGTGATGGGGTATCTACAACTTCTCTGGGCAACCTATGCTAGTGTCTTACCACACTCTTCATAAAAAATTTCTTCCTTACATATTATCTAAATCTGCCTTCTTTCAATTCGAAACTGTACAGTCACTACAGGCTCTGTTAAAAGGTCTTTCTGTCTTACTCGCAAATCCTCCTTATTGAAAGGCTGCAGTAAGGTCTCCCCAGAACTTTCTCTTTTCCAGACTGAACAAGCCCAGCTCTATCAGACTGTCCCCATAGCAGAGGTGCTCCAGCCCTCTGAGCACCTTTGTGGGCTCCTCTGGACTTGCTCCAACAGATCTGCGTCTTTCTCGTTCTGGAGGCCCCAGAGCCTGATGCAGCACACCAAGGGGGCTCTCAAGAGCATAGTAGAGGGGGAACATCACCTCCCTTGACTTGCTGGCTGCACTTCTTTTGACGCAACCCAGGATATGACTGACTTTCTAGGCTCTAAGTACACATTGCCAGCTCAATTTTTCATCCTCCACCATCCCCAAGTCTTTCTCTGCAAGGCTGCTCTCAATCCATTCATCCCCTGTATTGATATTGGAGATTGTCCCAAGACAAGTGTAGGACTTTGTGCTTGGCATTGCTGAACTTCATATGCCCAGCCCCCGCTCACCAGATGATTCTCTTTTAGTGCTGGAGGGACAAACCAAGCACAGATCTATGCTACAGAATGGGGTTACCTGAAAGCTCTGGACTGCCCCTGACATGCTGCAGTGGTCTCAGTGAGCAGAAAAGAAACAAGAAAGCACAAATGAACTCTTCACAATTTCCCACCTCTATGGCATACTTAAAGAGGGAGACCAGACTGTGGTAATAACCAGGGTAATGATGGCTTTGGATTTGACAAAACTCTCCTCAGTTGACCTGAGCTGAAGTCATTGAGTTAGAAAGTGTTAAATAGTGAAAACAATAACCTTCTGGGGAATACATCTGCCTACATCCAGCACTGTACCCAGGGCTGTCCTCACAGCAGAACTGCTATGTGGAAGGGCCAGTTACCAGTCAGATCTGGACACCTCCAAGAGCTGCAGCAAGTATCCCATTCCCCAGCTAGCTCAGTCAATGGAACGTGAGACTCATAATGTTGGGGTTGTGTGTTCAAGCTACACTTGGAGCACAGAAGAGGACTGTTATGGTTTAACTCCACCTGGCAACTAAGGAACCCAGAACTTGCCACTCCTCCCCACAGGAATGGGAGGGGGAGAATGGCAACAGTAGAAGTGAGAAAACTTGTGGGTTGAGATAAAACAGTTTAATAATTGAAATGAAATAGTAATGCTAAATCATAATGAAAATAACAAAAAGAGAGAAATAAAATACCAGAAACACAATGGTGTTAATGGAAATGAAAACAAATGCTCAACACCAAATTACTGATGCCCGGGCATTCTCCAAGCAGCAGCCAACCTTCCTCCTAGTTTTATTGCTGAACATGCTATCATGTGGTATGGAATATCCCTTTGGTCAGTTGGGGGTCAGTGGAACCAGTTGTGTTTCCTCCTAATTTCTTGTGCACCCCCAGTCTTCTCGGTGGTGGGGTGATGTGAGAAGCAGAAAAGGCCTTGTCTCTGTGTAAGCAATAACTGAAACATCCCTGTATGATCAACAGTGTTTTCAGCACAAATCCAGAACATAGCACCCTATGAGCTATTTTGAGGAAAATTAACTCTATCCTAGAGAAAAATAGAACAGTCACAAAGCAACCTTGGACTAGAAGTCAGGAGTAGTGCACAGACCTGTGTTTGTACGAAAAAAAATCAGTGTCCACCTGTTCTAGCCATCCTGCTTGGTACACAGGACCTAAAATGTATGACATGGAGGGATGATGTTCGGTGCTTGTGCCTACCTCATCTCCTGTTGCCCTAGGACAGCTGTGTTGGGCACACCCTTAAGGCTGGAAACCAATGCATTTCCGTACCCATTATGATCCAAGAATGAGTCTGGATTTGCACAAGAGAATAAAGATGATCCATTCCTGCTCGCTTCTTGTCAGGGAAGCCTCTGGATTTGCTGCGGTGTGAAAGCAAATGTCAGTTCTTCAATATCCATAATAAACGTGTCTAGTATAGAGTTAATTGGTCCTGCCTGCAACCAAGCTAATTTTGAGAAAACCACAATTATACTGCAAGCCCTGACAGGAGGAAGTTGACACAGTGCTACAGATAAAGAAATATGGTCTTGGCATTGCAATTGGCGAGTCCTAGACTTTGTGTTAGCTCTGCAGACCTCAGGACTTGTCTTACTCTGCTTGAAGAATGACTTGGAATTATTACCAGCCTTATTTTTTCATAGGCTTTGTTTTGGGCAATGCAGTGATGCCTATAAGAATGTGAATATGTTTCTGTAACAAGGACATAATAATAATTAGTTATTATTCTGTGTAGACTGAATTCTCTATCTCCCAGAAATAAAAATGAAATGGAGTGTATTTGGTTTATGTGACAAGGTTTTGGTGACACAAGGACTACAGAGTGGCCTTTGTGAAAACAGACCAGAGGCTCTCCCCATCTCAGACAAAGACAGTTTCAACTGGCTCCAAAACAGACACATCACTGCCCAAAACTGAGCCCATCGCTGATGCTGGTTGCACCTCTGTCAATAATATATTTAAGAAAGGTTAAAAACACTGCACAGCAGCTGTGTGAGAGAGGGTCGAGAAATGTATGAGAGAAATAGCCCTTTGGACACCAAGGTCAGTGAAAAAGAAGGAAGAGGAGGTGCTGCAGGGATCAAAGAGCAGAGATTCCCCTGCAGCCCATGGAGAGGACCATGGTTTAGTGTCCCCCCAGTGCAACCCATGGAGGTCCATGGTGAAGCAGATACCCGCAATGCAGGCCATGAAACCACCATTGCTCAATTGATGTTCACTAAAGAAATGCAGCCTTATGAACAAGGTTGTGGAGAAACACTAAAAGACAAAGCTCAGCAAGAAGTGTCTGTGTTGGCAATCGTTCAGCAGAAACAAGCTGTCTGCAACCCTAGGAGCAGGAGCCCTCAGGGAGCTTGGTGTGCTGCCCTGAGAGAGGCTGAAAAGGAGCAGTGCAGGGGGCATTGTGGGTGTGCTCTGTTTCAAACGATGCAGCTGACAGGAGCTGAGCCACAGGAATGGCCCAAACAGTGACCAAAAGCTGAACTGTGTTTCATTAGCTTGAAAATACATTTTTTTTTCACTTCAAAAAGTACATATACTATTTGAAAATACATATTACTTCTCATGCCCTGCATATGCTAATGAAGTAAAACCTTTCTGTATGAGTACCACTTCATGTTTTTTAACTACCAGATGTAGTGGTAACCAGAAGGGACCCTTTGCTGAGGCTTGCTAGAAAATACTAACCTTCAGGTGCAGACATCTCTTTTGTACCTGAACATAGATATGGGAGAGTGAAGCTACATTCCATATAGATGTTTTCTACTAATTTAGTTCTTTGGAAGATGCTCATAGAAATTCCAATGGTTCATGATCTACACAAACGGATATTCCTCTGGTATTTTTCCCTACCATATAGGGTGGTTCCATATGCAAGGGAAGATAGACGTGTGCTTGAGCTTGTAGCACAGATACCTGAGAGAGAGAAAGAGGTAACTATGGGTAGTGATTTATTTCACAGTGATATTATTTCTTTTAAGTAGAAAGTAAACAAATAATTTAAATATTTACTTTCTCTGAAAGGTGACTTCTGATTTCTAGCCAGCTCTATCTTACGTTGCAATACAATGAGAATTGAACAGTCTTCTGGTAGGACAATGCTTACATGGTAACTCAAGAGTCCATGCTTCAGACACTTGATGCTGAAGTTTCAAGTTGGTATTTCCTGAAATGTGCATTTTTTTAAAACCAGAATTTCAAACCACTGCAAGGGCTGTAAAGTTGAACTCAAACCTTACCTTCATGTTATGTCAGATGGTTGTTGTTACAAGTTTACCTATCACAAAGAA